GTGGAAATCAAGTAACGTTTTGTCTGGACTCCGTATAGCTTGAACAAACTTTTTTCACTGAAGCAAGAGATTTATTGAGCTCATTGATATCACATGAGATTGTAGTAGGTAAAGTTGAACGACCACAAAGCAACTTCATTTCGTTCCATAGCTGTCGGTAGGATTAGTCTTCTAGAACAGTGCCAGCATACTGTTGATCGAGATGCACTATCTCGCTTCTGATATGAAAGTTGACAGATTTGACTGTCAGTTTATCTTTGGAGCGATACGCCCTTTCTTTCAGCCTACGTAAACAGGTTAGTCTATCAGAGATGATGCGGTTGGGCTGTAGGTGGATCGTTTCTTGAGGGCAGCACACATCATAAGATTGAGATAGACTTTTCGGGCACACCTTTTAGAATGAGGCAGCTCCAGAGTTTGGAGCGGTCGACTGGGTCGAAAGCCGCTTTTAGCTCGAGGAAGATAGAAATAGTGGGTGAAAGGAGTGTTTGTGTTCTAGAAATTGACGGAGAGTGAAGGTGCGGTCGATACAACCTCGACCAGGTCTAAAAACAGCCTGGCTGTCATGCATACACTCTTCACGTGCCAGAGACAGCCGAGAAGTTTAGCAACAATGTTGCTTAAACTAATTCATCTGTGGCTTTCACAAGAGAATCTGTCACCTTTCTTGTAAATCGGTATGATCACCAATTCACATCATTCAGTTGGAACCTGTTCCTTTTCCNTTTTCCCACACTGAGCTCAGGAGTTAACTCCAAAACCAAGGCTGAACCTTCATCCTTAAAAGCCGATGGGGACATACCGTCCGGACCGGAGATTTTATACCTTTTGAGGTGGCTTATTTCTCGCGTAACCTCCATTTCAGATGGGGGACTGATGTCAACCGTCAGTATTTGCACAGTTGAAGCGAGTAAGGAAAGGTCTTTTGTCGACGAGGGCCAGCCNACTGTGCCTTAAAATGTTTTTTTCAAGACGGCGTTGCTGAATATGAATCAGTGTGCCGTCATACTTCTTAATTACTTGACTTACGCCTACTTTCCTCGGTCCTGTACTCATAATTAAACGAAAAATGATTGCGACTATTAGCGAAATCCGCATCCTTCTTCATCCCGCTGCATTTCCCTACCCACCACTTCTCACAGTCATTCCTCAGACTTTTGGTGAGTTGGCGTTTAACGGATTTGCGCGCTTTGTTTTATTTGCTCGTGAACCAGAATTTACCGTTGTTTTGATCGATGTTTAAATCGCTTCCTTGATTGTTGTCCAGTGTCCAGTGCGTCCTCCGGCTGATGGTCGAGCTGAGATTCGATATGATAGTTCCGCTTCGAAGACCGATTTGCAACCGTTGCTAATACTGTTTTGCGGGCATCCGTTTTCGGCGGTTGTTTACTATGTGTAGGGAGAATTTCGCTCGTAGCAAAGCATACATAAACTGATTACTCAACGTGATAATATTCACTGATGTGTTTCAAAAAGGTTTTTTTCAATGCCTCTGAGATCCTCAATGTGGTTGGGGTGCGTCCAGATTTGTGGCTGGTCACCCTTCCCTTGCACCTCTCGAAGTTCTCCCATACGACCAAGCGTCTCAAATAGCCTCTACTGAGGAAGCCTTGCTCACTGTCTTCCCGTGGCGGAGGTGTTTTCCTACTAAAGTGTGAAGAAGAAAAGCCGACATCCGGGGCTATAACCGGGTTGGTGAACCACTGGCAGTTCACCTAGTGGAGTTGGCTAAAACCCTGATTCCAAACCAACCAAGAGGAGGCGTACGAACCACACCCACACCCTTTCGGTTGTAACAGTAGTTACCGCCACGATTGGGCATCGAGGTGTATTAGGCACCTTGGACATTTGACCCCGGAATTTTACGGTTGGGGAAATCGAGGTGGAAAGTCGGGAAGAAGTGACAGGACGATGGATGTAAGCGTATAGATCATAATTAAGAAGATTGGAGGAAGTAATTAATGAATTGTAGTGTGACCATAGCGGAAGTGATCGGAATCCGCCGAGATATCCCCCTACCTATGCTCCTCATAACAACTCTTAAGAACACTCCGTCTTCCCTGACCAACTGGACTATTTCAGTTGGTCATAGTCACAGTCCACAGACCTGACCCGGCACCGTGAGAGAGAGAGGCATCATTCATCTATTCCACCTCGTTCACCGCGGGAGCACTGCAAATTTTGATCACCCTCCTGGAGAGACGAGACATTGATGGAAGTCCGGATGATTACTGTTTTTGAAGCGTTAAACGGTGACCATACCTAGGTGAATTGTACCGCAGTGGAAACTTTTGCTGCAGCTCCTCTCCCAGACCACCTCGAATGGTCTTCCTGGTTAGCAGGATGTCACCACACATTGGTCTGTAATTCCCCAAATAAATACCCCTCTCAGGTCCGGTGGCTGCTTAGTGGCTGGACACCCTAGCAGTACCCGTCCATCAAACCCGAGTGCATATGCATTGCGAGTTTAGCAGCGATCAGTGAAGCGAGCTTCTCTGTATTTCGCTGTACGATGATGATGACTGTAGTGGCTGCCAGATTGTCTTTGAGGACTGCTCTTTTCTGACGGTTGGTAGGGGTGCACTGATTACGAATATCTTTATAATAGTCGTACACTCGACCGGTTTGATGAAGAAATTTCCAAACTCACGGTAGAGCCATGGTGGTCCTCTGGTGTACATCCCAACTACCCATGTAGGAGCAAACACGCCGACTAGTTGGACGATATTGTTCTTGATGTTTGCCCACTTGGTTTCCACATTCACATCATCATCATCTGTTGACCACTGAACGCACTGAGCAACCGCCCGTAATTCCTCGAATCGTATCTTCCACACATTGGGACTCTGCTGGGTGCGTTCCTGATATGGAAGTTTGTGTGCCAGTAAATGATGATAGCAACATGGTCACTTGATCCGAACTGCACCTCCCACATCGGGACTTCCCCCGAATGCGCGGGGGATCTCGGATGTATTTGTGCAAGGCGAGAGATTCCAATAGGTCATGTAACTGACATTCCAATGTACCCTTTTGATAACCACACAATCTTGCCTCCCAATCAGTGAAGTCGCCCAGTAGATCGGCTGGGCGAAGGAGTGGGCGCTTTTCATCAACATCGGTAAGTGTGCACACATGAGACTATGCCGTGCTCTCTCTCTCTGCACGTGCCAGGCAAGTCTGGGGGGG